TATATAATCATTAGGGCAAAGAGTAACAAGACGAGTTTCTTAATTTCTTTTTCGAGCTTCAAATAAACAAGCAAAAAAAAACAACTCAGAAGTTGCAACAATTCTACTAAAAGTATGAACATATTTTCCATGCACGTTTGAAGAAAATCCATTTGCATTGTCAATGATCAGTTTTACTCAAAGAAAACCAAGCTAAGATAGCGAGACTGTACGACTCACTTCAACCAAACGTAAAGAAACACTAGATGATAACGCCTGATTTTAACCAAAGAAAAAATATCACTTGGTAAACTGACAAACAACATAGGCCTACGTACAAAATACGCAAAACATTATTCTCGTACCTTGAATTGGTTCAACAGTGGTTGAAATGCAGTGAGTATTACTGTTTTTTATAGCTTTCATCTGTTGTCGCCGAAGGTAAACTTGCTTTTTCATAACACCCCTATGTTCGCGTCCCTTGACACATAGCTTGCAGTGACAGTTCAAGAACGGACAGAGCCGTTTATGACCTTTCATGTTTGTTCGGATTCCATGATTTCTGCAGATCGTGCAGGAACGCTTGCCTTTTTTTTTTAATGTGTTTCGGTTCTTCTTGAGGAACCAGGTCCATTTTGTTCTGCCGGTGAAAATAGCGGTCCGAAACAGGAATTTTTTTCTTCGGAGACGACGCCTTATATTGCTTCAGCTATCGGCAAAACTAAGCAAACTCTGTCTACAAGGCGGCCCTCCTATCCAGTCACTGACAAGCAAATGTCAGTCAAATCGAAATCTTGCTCATGATTGGCGAAGGTATTAAAGGTATCACGTGCGCGACTCGTGACATGGACAGAGAGACGTCCGTTCAAAACAATGAAGTGTTTGTTTTGAATGAATGCATGAATGAATGTCTGTCTGCACTTAGACAATCTGAAACTTTCCAAATATTCTGCTCTGATCAATTTGTTTTCCATATTCCACGTTTTCAGAATTATCCTTCCTCTTGTACCCATTTTAAACTGGCTGGAAATAATTTACTTTTTCACGATCTACTTTAACGTACAGATTCCTTCGGACAGAGATGTTATTCAGTAATTTTTTTTCATCACCGTATCGTTCTTGGTCCTTTTATTACAACCAGACTATTATTTCGATCAGGAATTAAAAAATTTGTTCTGATTTCGGATAAGCAATCACGATTACTGTTCGCCGCACTCGCTCTGCATGTTGAGCTTTCGATAACCTTTAATCCTGAATTTATTGAAAAAGCACTTTAAACTTCAGGGATCTGTGCAGTAAAAAAATTAACTGTTAACTTATATTCTTGTGATGTATTTCATAACAATTTTGACAACACTTGTTGACAACACCTGTTCATTTCTCACACAGTAAACAGAGTTTTTCCTTGATTCCTTTTTCAAGTACTGTGATACTTTTAGAATTCTAAAAGATGTTGTGTAGCTGACTGCGCGGTAACTTGGGGAAAAAGCTTTCGGATTTTTTATGTTTATAGTAAAACAATTTCATTAAATGAATAATATATTGTAATGGACCTGAGTGGAGTCTAATTAGATCATAGGAGTGATTGACAAAATCTGGTGGACGACACAAAGTTCTGTTACCAATGAATCAAAATAACAATAAATCACATAATTTTTTCCAGTTAGTAATTCGAAAAGTAGCTGTAAAGCTTGCTCCGTCGGTCCCTGCACTGAATACGATATGGAAACATATAATAAACTCCTTTGATCTTCTTCTTACAAAACAATACAGAAAAAGTCAACTAACCCCTTTGAAGTGAGGTGTACAAGACAACTTTGTTGTGAGGTACAAAACCATTTCTATGACCGTGAGGAAATGCGACCACTTGTCGCCTTTCACGGAGACGGCCTGCCTGGTGAGAGTGTACTGACATACATAAAATGTAACTCTGAAAACGAAGAAAATGTTTCTCCTGATATTTTACGTTTCCTTCTTGCTGTCAGCTACTGATACGTAAAAATTGTTGGACAAAGATTAAAATCACTAATCTCAAGATTAATTCAAACGCTTCAACATTACAATCCAGTCTAGTAAACGTTCTAAAACTCTAACAGACGCCCCTACTGACGCTTTGTCGTCTCGTCTTTTCTAGGCGAGGAAGGAACCTTAAAATGGCTTTAGAGGCGAACAAAAGGTTGCCTCCACCACACTAGCATTTAATTCTCAACTGTGTCTTTAATTTTTCAACAACGGTTGCAGAAATACAAATTAACTAGAACAAGATTTTTTTATCATTATTTATGTTAAAAACAACCTAAAGTAACTGAGTTCATATGGTTAAAGAATTTTGCGTAAAATAAATTGACGAATAGTTGTAATTCTCAGTATGGAAAATGCTTCAAACGAACATTAACTTTCCCAGTAAAGGGTATAGAACATTACATCATAAGTGTAAGTTATAAAAACAATCCTACCACTGCATATTTAACATTTCATGATTATCCTATTAAGAAAAAAAAAAAAGCCAAAAAGTTAAACATGTCGAAAACAAATATTCAATATTGAGACCGTTTCTATAGAAACAATATCTAACGGGATTAAAATCAGATCTGAAGACACTGTGGTTGAATTTTTCCAGTGAGATTCAAAGCCGACACGAACCAAAAGTAATGAAAGTAGTCAGTTAGGACAAGTATGGATCAAAAATGTTTTATCTTTCATATCTCGGTTTTCCATGCTTCTGATTCCAGCAAATGGCGTCAAAACAGCGGCAGTTTCAAAGGATTCACTGAGACCAAATCTGAAAGAGTTGATCTCCATTCTTGGGGAAACACTGTTGTATTTCACGAAGGCACTGTTATCCGAAACGGTAAAATTAGTGCAGGGTAGAGGTTCCATCACGGAGAAGCAGGATGTCTCAGTTTCAGATCCCTGCCAGTTGTTTTGATGGAAGCCACCCGTGTAAATTTCTCCTACACTCCATGGAAGCTGGTATAAAGGTGTAGGTGTAGGTAAGCAAGCCCTGTAGTTGAATGGGTGATGTCTGGGAACTCCAAACTGGGAATTCAATATTTTCGACACGCTCTGAATCAATCCTCCGCTTCCATTTTTTGCTGTCTTTTCATTTTCATCAAATATGGTGTTATGTTTTTCATTGAAAGGTGATTCTGCGGGAGAGATACTCACTGCAAACATGATAAAAAAAAAAGTTTTCCTTCATTTGCAAGAAAACCATCAAAAGCAATGAGTAAAACATTTAAGAGCAGAAAAAGAAACTCCCTAGGTCATATAAAATCATTAAGCCAAAGAGTAACAAGACGAGTTTCTTAATTTCTTTTTCGAGCTTCAAATAAACAAGCTAAAAAAAACAACTCAGAAGTTGCAACAATTCTACTAAAAGTATGAACATATTTTCCATGCACGTTTGAAGAAAATCCATTTGCGTTGTCAATGATCGGTTTTACACAAAGAAAACTAGACTAAGATAGCGAGACTGTACGACTCACTTCAACCAAACGTAAAGAAACACTAGATAACGCCTGATTTTAACCAAAGAAAAAATATCATTTGGTAAAATGACAAACAATATAGGCATACATCAAAATTACGCTTAACATTATTTTCGTACCTTGAATTGGTTCGACAGCGGTTGAAATGCAACGAGTATTACTCTTTTCTATAGCTTTCATCTGTTGTCGCCGAAGGTAAACTTGCTTTCTCGTAACACCCCTATGTTCGCGTCCCTTGACACATAGCTCACAGTAGCAATTCAAAAACGGACAGAGCCGTTTGTGACCTTTCAGGTTTGATCGGATTCCATGATTCCCGCAGATCGTGCAGGAACGCTTGCCTTTTTTCTTAATGTGTTTCGGTTCTTCTTGAGAAGCCAGATCCATTTTGTTGTGACGGTGAAAATAGCGGTCCGAAACGGGATTTTTTTCTTCGGAGACGACGCCTTAATATTGCTTCAATCATCGACCAGAAAACTAAGCAAACTCTGTCCACAAGGCGGCCCTTCTATTCAGTCACTTACAAGCAAATGTCTGTCAAATCGAAATCTCGTTCATGATTGGTGAAGGTATTGAAGGTATCACGTGCGCGACTCGTGACATGGACGATGAGGCGTTTGTTATTTTGAATGAATGAATGTCTGTCTGTACTTACTCGTAATGTAACTTTTCAAATATCCTGCTCTGTTGAAGTTGTTTCCATATTCCACGTTTCCAGAATTAACCTTCCTCTTGCACCCATTTTAAACTGGGAAGGTTTATTTTTTTTAATGATCTACTTTAACTGAATTGAGGTTGCAAGATTTGTGTCCTATATATATATATAGGTCTGAGATTTCAAACTTAGTTTCTGGTTCAATTACTGTCTTTCCAAAACATTTCTAAAGTAATTTTTCAATTCCAGGCATCTAACTGCCTGGAGTCGTAATTTTATGAGATCAGACTATGTTTCTAGCATCGACATTACTGATATATGTTCTAGAAATGATCTGCCAGCATTGTTTTCTACGAACCTCTTTGAATGCTGTTAATTCTGTATCAAGATCTGACCATTATTGAATAACTAAGGTACTGGTCATTTTTTATCGGGAGGGGGGACTGGTGCAAATGGGGGGGGGGGCCACCATTTTTTATGCATGGCTTAAAAGGGAGGCCATTCAAAAATATGCAAACGTTTTGCCAGAAAAAAGGTTAAAAGCTGCATCTGGATGCCATCAACAAATACAGCCTAATAAAATAGCTTTATACATACCCACCATAACCTTGGAAAATATGGAATAAAAAAGGCAAAGCTGGAAGCAGTTAAAGAAAGTATCATCCAAGAACTTGCTAAACGCAGTGAGAGAGAGGAGGATTGGAAGAGCGACAATCAGTCGTCTTCTGATTCACTCAGTAGTGAATCAGAAGACGACTCAGAGGAAGAACACTGTGTCCTTGCAGAGATTGGTATTTTAAGCTCTGAAGAGGAAGAGAGGTCGACTGCAGAAGAAGAAATGGTTGAGAGCACCGAAAACTTTAATATCAATACGACAATTGTCTACACACGGTCTGGGCGAAGAGCAACTCAAATCCAAATTTAAGGTAGCTTTAGATAGGATGTCTGTCATTTGGACATGGTGACCTGATAAATAGATACTTTTTGTTTCGTGCATGCCAAAGGACAAGGGGGGATGGGAGGGGGGGTCAGCAAAAATCATGTTAAAGTAAAAAGGGGGGGGGTCAGCAAAAATCAAGCATGGCATATTTTACATTGGACCAGCCCCCCCTCCCGATAAATAAGGACCAAGGGCCCGTTTCTCGAAAGTCCCGGTAACTTAACGGACCCGTAAGACGGTTCTGTTTTCATTCAGGATGGGAATTTCAAAAGTTTTGAAAACAACAAAATGAAACCATCAACTAAAGAAACAAAATGGAGTGGTTTGGGGGCCAGAACCTGCTTTTATATCCTTTGAATTTTTATATTAAAACATGGCCTCGGGTCCGCTAAGTTACCGGGACTTTCGAGAAACGGGCGCCAGTCCCTAATAGGGTACCGTAAACTGAAACTACTGACAGTAATTGACACTTGAGTGGTTGGGCTGTTCCGAAAACGTGGAGTGCGGAGTGCAGAGTGCGGAGTCTAAAAAAAAAATTAAAAAATTAAAGATTAAATGAAACAATTAAAAGAATAATTAAAAACATAAATACGCTGGAAATAGAAATTTAAGAAATAAATATAATAGTTATTAAAAAATTCACGCCGCCTGAAGTGGACTGTTCATTTCGTATATTAAACTCAAGACTTTCATAGTTAGCAGTTCACTTTTACCACTTATTACCAGCTTTAAATGAATATATTAAGTACGTTTATCCCCGTCACATGCCTTTCCATGTCAACTGATTGAATGCCTGGGCTAGAGGTGACAACTTATCCCTTAGCCTCTTTTCCATGCGTTCGGTTAGTTGAGTCATGGCTCGGAAAACGGTGGGCGAAAAAATCGGGAAAAAGTGCTTTATTTACTCTGTTTTGCGTTAGAAGCCTTCAAGTATTGTGTATCAATTTAACTTTACTTCCACCTTGAAATCAGTAATCTTCTTCCAGAGAAGGTATTAGGTTCTTGCAGAAAAAAAAAAAATACATGACCGCAGTCACGGTAGCTGCATGTGGAATTGGCGAGACGAGCAACCCTGTGCCGTTAAATGGCTTTTTTGGGAAAACATTTTATTTTTATAATTTGATTTCTCAAAGTGCAACTTTACCTGTGTATGGACTTGTTTCTCTATTTGTCAAACTACATTTTTCATCTTACTATTTTTCAGCGCTGAATGTCTTTCAAGGTTTTAGTTTGAGCTTTGCGAGAACTTTAGGACGCGCAGTTGACAAGTTGTGAGAATGGTGAGGGTTAATTCACATGGGCAGTTTATTTTGGAAAGCAAAGCTTGAGATTGTTTCGAGGCAGTACGGCTTTCCAGCCAAACCGAAGGCGTAATTTCTCGCATTTTCTAGACATGGTCAAAACTGGACTGTTCTTTACTTTTTTTTTCGTAAAAGTGAACTGCTAACTGTGAAAATCTTGAGTTTAATATACCATATGAACAGTCCACTTCAGGCGGCGTGAATTTTTTAATAATTATTATTTTTATTTCTTAAATTTCTATTTCTAGTTTATCTATGTATTTAATTATTCTTTTAATTTTCTTTTTTTTAATTTTTTTTTAGACCTCGCACTCCGCACTCCTCGTTTCCGGAACAGCCTGAGTGGTTGTGTGCCTTCGCCTAAATCAGAATTTAGAAGAACCGACTCGAAAAGCAAACACGAGGCCCTGTAAATATTTATTCATGGCCTTTTCCCAAAAAAAAAAAACAAAAACTAAGTTAAACTAGCACAGTTTAAAAGCTTATTCCCCATAAAAAAATTAATAAATTTTACTTATAAATCAAGATAAAATTCGCTAAAGTTTTTACGCGCGTGTGCGAAAAAGCCAGCGGGTCAGATGTCACCAGTTACGAATGAGCAAATTTGGCGCTCGCAACTTGAAAACTGAATGAAAAGCAAGACAAATATTGCCAGGAGATATTTCAGGGTAAATCTGTCATTCAACACGAATCTAAATTTACTATTATAAGCAAAAAGCGTGCGAATTTCTCGCGTGCATGAACACGCAGAATAATTCGTTTGTGTGTATCGCTGTTCAATTTCCCTGCGAGCATAGTCTTTTCTTCTTTTCAACCCTCCAAGGGCTTTTCTTCTTTTTAACCCTCCAAGGGATTTTCCCTTTTCGATTCGAGGACGGGTTAAAAAGGCTCTGCTCGCAGGGTACTGTTCACTAAACTTCGTTGCAAGAAATTTCATGGCCTTACGTTGAAAATTCTGAAAATTGTATGCTTTAACAAAAGATCTTTCGTTAAACAATGTTTGTGCTTTTTACTTTAAGCTTTCACTTCCACACAAACATTACTCGGTAGAGGTTGGTATTCCAGTTCGTGCTTCGTAATCTCACTAAATCACTGTAACATCTCAACCACACTGTCGCGAAGTGCTTGAAAGACTAAAATTGACAGCTGTGCCGGGGTTTACGTTCAAATGACTACGGACTCAGATGATTAGAGGAACTCACCTTCAAAGTGTCCACCTTCTTCAGAAGTATTCCCCAATCAAAACTGAAGCGGACATCCCAGCCAAGTGTTAGTGGTTTCCACCCGAGTACTTAGCGAATTGCGCCGAGGTATCGAGATGATGACATCAATTTCTCGAACATTTCCCGAAGTTTTTAACTTGCTTGCTTTGACAGCTAAGCAACGGTAGCTACAAAAGTACCCGGTGAATGAGGAAAATCTGAAAGCTTTGCAGTTGTTATTGTTTATTTTTCACTGGATTACTTACCTAGCGGAATTCATAGTCAAAATCACAACTTGGGGCAACGCTACGGAGAGGTAACATGGTGTTGCTTACCAACTTTTTTTTACAGAGCTACGTGTATGTGTATCATGTAAAAATCAGAGAATCTTATCAAAGCATTAAATAACCAAAATATCTCATCCCTACAGACAGGTTCATGAAGAGCTTCAGCGTTACTACTAATATAAGCACCGGACTTCTCTCAACATTCCATCTGAAGTAAAGCAGTACCAAGCTAACCCAATATTGTGACACGCGTGACACATGTAATGCTTGTAGTGACATTTTTATAAAGATTGCGTGATTAGTTTTGTCGTATATCGCGTGATACAATCGCAGTAAGCATAATCTTTCAATAGCAAATGTGACAATTTTCTTCATAGATATAAATTACTAAAATCATATAGAGAACTTATACATTTTAGTTACCTGTGTTCTTCAATTTCCCTTTTCATTCTGTTCTAATACATGGTTATTACATGGGTATTATAAACCCCAGGTAGAATTTATAAATCAATTTTTGTACTGGGCACACTGATGTTCTGTCATTAACAGTTTTAAGCAATGAAGAAAATCGATTTGTTTGGGAAACTAAAGTAGGCCAATAAGACGGGAAAGCACAAAAAAATCCCAGTTATTTAAATATCTTCGAGTTCTGTACCTGAACGATAGAATCATTACAGCTTCTGGAATTCTCCATATCTTTGGAAATATAAAAGCGACTGTTCAAGCAACAAAATTACTTCAAAAATAAAGTTAATTAAATATGTGTTGGCTTAGTTTGAAAATCCCTGAGGTGAACAGAACACACTCAAGAAGGTAAAGTCCATACTTGAGGTTTCTGCTCAAAAATTATCTACGGTACATCCATAGTATTTTCAGATTGATAAATATTAGTATGCAGTTTAACAGTTAAAGTCCTGCGTGAGACTTTCTCGTCCTTAGACGAGTTTGCACTTCATCGTTAACCCCCCCTGAGTGTCCTCCTAACTCGCTTTTCCTCGGCCTCCTCTTCCGGGTTCCTTGTGCCCGCACATGGCTTAGATCAGCGGTGGGTTTGTGGTCAAGACGTGTCACGTGGTTGTGTTTAGTGGATCTCAAGCTCCTCTCTTGCTGCTGCTTCTCCCCTCGCATCACTGTTCCATTCTGGTAGCCGCCATTAGCGAGACCAGCGTGGTGCACGTGATCGTCTTCTTGCAATAAATGATTACCGTTTGTTTTGATGTAGTTAAGGGTTTTGGTTTTAGAATCTTCTGCTGGAATTTCCTCCAGGAACGTCGGCTTCTTCGTTCCCTGAGGTAAAATGAGAAAAATCTCAGTTAAAGAAACGTTTCAGAGCGCTTATCGATTGAGTGTCGTAAACCAAAAACCACAACGGCCAATCAGAAGAAAGGAAGAGTCAATGAGAACTCAAACTAAAAGCAACTGAACTGCCTAAAGCGCGGGAAAACGAGGACGATCAAGTCGTGATTGGTTTTAGCTTGGCATCTGATTGGTTGAGAGAGCGGCACAGGTTTCTAGACCAATCACAGAGCGGGTAAAGCAAAACTAATTCAATCTCGGATTGCTTTCGATATTCACTTGAAAACTGCTCTATCGGTAGTTTTTTGAGTCTTGCTTTCAAACCAAACGCGATTTTGATTGAAGTCACCTTACAAAAGTGTACAGGGTTCTTACTTTAACCCTCTTTACTTAGCTAACAAGATACTTTTAGATAAAGATGAGGTTGTTCGTTTTTGTAGTTTTAGTACCATTTATAACTATGTTTTAAATCGATTTGATTTTCATGTTAAATAAGTTAAACATTAGACAATCTTTCACTGGTTTCATGCTAGTCAAGCTTAAAACGAAATTTAAAATAAAATTTAAATAAATTTTTAAGTTTAAACTAAAGTTCATAACTTCTTACGTATTTCTTGAGCATTTTTAGTCTCTCCACAATGTTTGCCTTCATTATATTGACCCCCTACAGAAAAAGTAACAACAGATCATATATTGCAAACGTTGTTTGAAAGAATTTAAACGAACGATTTAAGTTTAAATCAAAGGTTTACACTACAGTTTATATTTAGAGGTTTATGGTCACTTTTATTTAACTATTTTCATTTTAAAGGTGCGAAACCAAAAAATCTTAAGGTTAATTATTGTTTCATTTAAATTTCACACTTAATGTATTGAAAACAGCGGTCAAACGTTTGTGAAGGTTGCCCACATTGTGTTTTCAGACAGTAAAAGAAAAGTTGTCGCACAGGATTTAAAAACCACTACCATTAAAGCCGCAAAACTCTTGAACAAAAGTTAATCTTTCAAATCGGCACTCTTAATCCCACAGGTATCAACGAACGCTTTTAATTCCACTAATTTATTCGTGTTTTTCTCGTTGCCATGTTCCCACCAATGGCGTAGTTCCGCTTTCTGCGTATAAAACCACATACAACCCACAATTCCTCCATTCGCTCTGACGAAGGGCTAACGCTCGAAACGTCAGCTTTTTTATTCGTTACGGTGGCCAATTTACAATTTCAACTTAGTTGATATAACCAATTATCTTGTTACTCCCACCGACGCAGCACCACAGTTTCTTTAGAAACTTTCAGCCATC